GGGGGACCGAGGGTTGGCTCCAATCCGTGCCTCAGTTTCCCCTCACACCTTATTCCAGCTCGTTAGCGCTTTAATTTGGGGCTGAGGGGTGTTTGTGCCTCGGAGACCTCATCCCTGTGAACCAGTTAATATTCCAGCTAATGTCCCAATAATCCCGATTAATCCTCGCTCTGCTCCAGCTCACATCTCCCAAATCCTCCGCGCAGCGCCGGAGCCAAGGGAGAATCCTGGGCTGGGTGTTGGAGCCCGCCTGGGCCCGTCCCCCCGGGGCTTTCCCGTGCGTGCCCTGCTTCTGCCAGCACGCCCAGTGCCGGGCGCTTACTGGTGCCAGCACAGCTGGAGCCATGGCACCGCCATAAATCCCTGGGACCTCCAGTACCAATCTCTTACTGGTGCCAGCACAGCTGGAGCCTTGGCACCTCCATAAATCCCTGGGACTTCCAGTACCCGTCCCTTACTGGTTCCCAGTGTCCCCAGTATCCCCACTGCCACTCTCTTACTGGTCCCCAGTACACGTGGGGTCCTACCCTGCGGCTGCCAGTGTCCCCAGTGCCAGTCCCTTACTGGTCCCAGCACACCTGGAGCCAAGACCTTGGCACCTCCATAAATACCTGCAGCCCCCAGCATGCCCAGTGCCAATCCCTTACTGGTTCCCAGTGTCCCCAGTGACAGTTCCTTACTGGTCCCCAGTACACATGGGGTCCTACCCATGTGGCTCCCAGTATCCCCAGTGCCAGTCCCTTACTGGTCCCAGCACACCTGGAGCCAAGACCTTGGCACCTCCATAAATCCCTGTGGCCCCCAGCACACCCAGTGCCAGTCCCTTACTGGTCCCCAGTACACATGGTGTCCTACCCTGCAGCTCCCAGTATCCCCAGTGCCAGTCCCTTGATGGTTCCCAGTATCCCCAGTGCCAGTCCCTTACTGGTCCCCAGCACACGTGGGGTCCTACCCCTGCACCTCCCAGCATCCCGAGTACCAGTCCTTTACTGGTTCCCAGCACATGTGGGGTCCTACCCTGCAGCCCACAGTGTCCCCAGTGCCAGTCCCTTACTGGTCCCCAATGTCCCCAGTACCAGTCCCTTACTGGTCCCAGCATACCTGCAGCCATGACCTTGGCACCTCCATAAATCCCTGCAGCCCCCCGCACGCCCAGTGCCAGTCCCTTACTGGCCCCGGTACACATGGGGTCCTGCTCTGCAGCTCCCAGTGTCCCCAGTACCAGTCCCTTACTGGTCCCCAGTGTCCCCAGTGCCAGTCCCTTACTGGCCCCGGTACACATGGGGTCCTGCTCTGCAGCTCCCAGTATCTCCAGTACCAGTCCCTTACTGGTCCCCAGTGTCCCCAGTGTCAGTGCCTTACTGGTCCCCAGTACACATGGGGTTCTACCCTGCAGCTCCCAGTATCTCCAGTACCAGGCCCTTACTGGTTCCCAGTGTTCCCAGTGCCAGTCCCTTACTGATTCCCAGCACACCTGGAGTCGTGACCTTGGCACCTCCATAAATCCCTGTGGCTCCCAGCACGCCCAGCACCAGTCCTTTACTGGCCCCAGTACACGTGGAGTCCTATCCTGTGGCTCCCAGTGTGCCCAGTACCAGTTCCTTACTGGTCCCCAGTGTCCCCAGTGCCAGCCCCATACTGGTCCCAGCACAGCACCTCCATTTCAGGCTCGGGGCCTGCCGGTGACTCCAGGACCGGGCGTTATCCCCGGGACGGGCGGGCTGTTCCAGGACCCAGCGTTTTTCCCGGGCCGGGCACCTTTAAGACCCAGCGTTTTTCGCGGGACGGGCGGCTTTAGGACCCGGGTTTTTCCCGGACCGGGCACCTTTAAGACCCGGCCTTTTTCCCGGGCAGGGCGGATTTAGGACCCAGCATTCTCCCCGGGCCAAGCGGCTTTAGGAGCGCGGCGGCCCCGCCCGTGCACCTGCCCGGCAGGCGGGGACAGGTAGCGCAGGTGGCCCCGCCCCACCCGGACGCACCTGCGGCCCCGCAGCCGCTGTGGAGCCGGTGAGAAGGGAGGGGACGAGCCGGGGGTCCCGCTGGGAGCCCCCCTCTGCTCTAAGGGGGTCCCAGTGCAGAGCTCCTGCCGGGAAAGGGGGTCCCGGGGTCCCGGTGGGCAGCCCTCGCCCCAGGGAAAGGGGGTCCGGTGGTCCTGGGGGTCGTGGTGCAGCGCCCCTCTCTGCGGTAAGGGGGTCTGGGGTCCTGCTGCGAGGTCTTTGCCCCGGGGGAGGGGGTACGGGGGTCCCAGGGGTCCCGGTGCGGAGCCCCCACCATGGTAAGGGGGTTTGGGGGTCCTGGTGTGGACCCCTCCTCGCGGTAAGGGGGTCTGGGGTCCTGGTGTAGATCCACCCGTCGTGGTAAGGGAGTCTGGATGTCCTGGTGTGGAGCCCCCCACCATGGTAAGGGGCTCTGGAGGTCCCGGTGCGGAGCCCCCGGCCCGGGGGAAGGGAGAGCAGGGTGTCCTGGTGAGGGACCCTCCTGGACTTGGGTGCTCGGGGGTCCCGGTGCAGAGGCCCCTTTGTGCAGGGGGGTTCAGGTGGTCCTGGGATGGAGCCCCCCGGGCCGGGAGGTCCGGTCCCGAGGCTGTGGCGGTTCTGGGCAGGGCACTGGGAAGACCCGGCCCCCACAACCCCCAGGAGGTACCCCAGGATCCCCGGCGGGGCAGGGACCCTCACACACCCCGGGAGCGGCTCCGGGACCCTCTGGGCTCACCCACCTGGCGGGGAAGCCCGCCAGGATCCTGACCCTGTGAGCTCCCAGCACATGCAGTTCCTCCCGCTGGCGCTGAATCCCGCCGGGAGCGATCCCGCTGCACCCCAGCTCCCCGTCCCTGCCCCTCCCGGTGTCATCGTGGCTCGCTGCCACGTGGAGCCGGTGGCCGCCTCACCTGAGGCAGTGTGGGTGTCAATCCGCTTGTATTTTATTTATTTCCCTTTATTTCCTCCACGAGTGTATCTCTGTTTCTGCCTCTTCCCCACAATCCCTCCCTCCCACATCGCGGGGGACGCTCCTGGAATTCCCACTGAACTTTTTCCCCATTTCCCCCCTTTTTTCCTCTTCCCCCCCTTTTCCCCCCTTTTTTTCCCTTTTCATCCCCCCTTTTCCCCCTTCTTTTTTCCCTTTTTTCCCCCTTTTTCCCCTCTTGTTTTCCTTTTTTCCCCTTTTCCCCCTTTTCCGACCCCAATAGGCTCCCCTGGGTCATTTTAATGTTGTTTTCCCAGGGCGCAGGGCCAGCCCCGTGGCAATATGGGATTTTCGGGATGGGATGGAGCAGAATCCACCTGGGATTCGCAGGGCAGGTAGTGGAGGGCGCAGGTGCACCAGGAGCTCACGCTGGAGCTCCGTGCCAAATCCATCCCAGTCTTTCAGAGGGGAAATTTTTATTTCTATTCGGCTTTTTCGCCCTTTTTGGGAAGGGGTTGTGGCCCCCTGGGAGCGGCAGCTCTTGTTGTGCACAACCTGCGCCCCCCCGCACACCTGAGTGTCCCTCTGGTGTTAATTAGCACCGACACCTAACGAGCTTCATTAGCAACGTGGCATGAAGGAAGCTCAGAGTGGTGGGGTTGATGGAAATGGGTTTTTTTCCCCAAAATCCTTTTTTCCCCCCCTCTCTATTGTACAGCAGCGCCGTGCAATGAAAACCTCGGGGGTAGGAGTGAAGCGGAGCCACCTTCGCCCAGCTTGGGGCAGAAATTCCGAGGCAATGGCAGAGAACACCAGGGGATTTATGGGGTTTTTCCCCCCGATTCTGCTTTTCCGCGCTGGATGGGGCCGGGCGCTCTTGGCAGTGAAGCGTGGTCCAGCTTTGATCCTGCGGCGCTCAAAGCGGGGACCCCGGGACCCTCCTCCTCCCCAGCCCAAACCTCCTCGCCCTTGAAGTTGTGGCAGGTGCCCTTCCCCGCCCATTGCCGAGAGAATGAAAAGAAAAGGGGAAAAAGGAGCCGGGGGAAGGGGGGGGACCCCGAAGTGGAGGAGGAGGAGGAGATGGCCGTGAATGGATCCCGCCGGGCTCGTCCATGCTCCGGCGGCCGCGGCTCACAAAGAGGAGCCGCGGGAAGTTTGGGGGTGGTGGAAAGCTCAGAGCCTCCGGCGGATCCCGGGGCAAACTCGGGAGCTGGCGCCGAGCTCCCGGCGGCCGTGGCACCGGACACTGCCCCGGACACCGAACCTGCTGCTCCAGCTCCGCCGAACCCGGAGCGCTGCATGGTCTGCTCGAGTTTTCCTTCGCAGGCAGGAAAATGCCCAGGAAAAGGCTTTTTTTTCCCCGGCGGCCAAAAATATTTTGGCAAATTTTGGGCTGTATTTTAACTTGGCGGTGGCGGGGGGAGGCTGCAGCCTCCAAATCAGTCCCAGAAGAAACTTTTGGGGGGATCTCGTGTATGGTGATGGGGGTGGGTGGCGCATCCCCCGGCACTTTTTTAACCTGCACTTTTCCTGGTGTTTCAATTTCCGGATGGATTTAGGGGCTGGAAGTGCTGGGGGGATTGAATTTTACAGGTGTCACTTGTGCCAAACTTTATATTAATATATTGCTGATATTATTTTGCCATATTAATATATTACTAACATCGTACTGCAATATTGATATGTTAATATGTTGCTAATATTGCTTTACTATGTCGATATATTAATGTACTGTTTTGCTATTGTGTTATTATGTAATTATTTGTTTATTGTTATTATTATTTGGTCTAGTGGGAGGTTCCCGGCCCGGGGCAGAGGGTTGGACTGGATGATCTTTAAGGTCCTGAACAAAACTATTCCATGAGCTGATCATATTTATATATTCTATTTTAGGTACAATGTGATCTATTTTAAACACAATATATTATCTCTTCAGTGCAGTATTTCTGTTTTGACACCAAGGAGTTGCATCCAGGCTGGGAATTCACTGCAGGTGTTTCTCCTTCCCCCAGGTCACTGGAGCAAAGCAGGACACCGTGATGCACCCGCAGCCCCCACATTCCTGAACCCTCCAAAACCGCCCCGAACACCCCAAAATGAGGCTGTTCCGCCGCCGCTACAGCGCCTTGAAGGTGGCCTTGGCGGGCGCCGTCTTCGTCCTCTTCCTCTTCATCCTCCAGAAGGACGTGGGCAGCAAGGAGCCGGGCGAGGAGCCGTGGCTGCGGAACATCGTGCCGGGCAAGGGCCAGGTGCTGGACCTGATGCTGGGCGCCGTGCGGGACCTGCGGGACTCGATGCCGCGGCTGCAGATCGGGGCCCCGGAGCCGCCGCCGGAGCCGCTGCCCAGCGGCCGCTCCTGCCTGCCCGGCGTCTACACCGCGGCCGAGCTGCGGCCGCTGATGGAGAGGCCGCCCCAGGACCCCGCCAGCCCCGGCGCCGACGGAAAAGCCTTCAAGAAGGATCGCTGGACGCCCGAGGAGACGAAGGAGAAGGAGCGGGGCTATGAGAAGCATTGCTTCAACGCCTTCGCCAGCGACCGCATCTCCCTGCAGCGGGCTCTGGGCCCCGACAGCCGCCCCCCCGAGTGAGAGCCGGGCCCGAAAGCCCCTGGGACCACTCACTGGCTTAAAATGGCTCCTCACCCCTTCAGTCTGGCCACTCGCTCCCTTCAATCTGGCCACTAAGTCCCCTCAAATCTGGCCACTCACTCCCTCAAATCTGGCCACTCAACCTCTTCGGTCTAGCCACTTATTCCCTTCAACCTGGCCATTTACTCCCTTAAATTTCAGGGAAAGTTAAAACAGATTGGGGGCAGGATGTCACCCAGCACTGGCAGAGGATTGAATGCAGACAGAGCTAAAAAAAAAAAAAAGGAAATTATTTATTATTATTTCTCCCTAATTTTGGCCCCTTGGGGGCGGGTTTAGTGGCAGCAGGCTCTTTGTGTCTCCCTGTACCTGCTTGGTGGCTCCGGCGCCTCCCCGCCTTTCCCTCCTCTCTCGCCTTTATCCCAGCGGCTCCAGCGGTCAGACTTTTTCTTTTCTTAGCCGAGTGGAACAGCCTCGGACCCCGCTGGGGTCGGGGGCAGGGAAAGAGGGAAACTCCAGAGATTTCCCCGCCTGCCCTCGGCCAGGGGCTGCCGGATTAAAGCGGGGCCCGCGCGGAGGGGTGGGATGGGGGAGACATGGGGGGGAATTCGGGATGGAAAAAGCCTTGAAAGGGATGGAGGAATCCAGCCCCCCGCGCCGGCAGGCGATTATCCGTGCTTAGCAGGTGTGGCGGTGACAAAGGGGGGACACGGAGGCCGGCAATGGGACTCACTCAACCAAAATCAATGGGAATCAAAGCAGGGACGAGTCCAGAGGGGCCAGAGCTGCTCCCCTGCCGCTGTGGGGTTTGGTGGGGGGGGGGGATATCGGGGGTCTCTCCAGTCGTGCCTCCCCCTTCACTCCCCCATTCTGCCCCCCAGGTGCATCGATCAGAAGTTCAAGCGCTGCCCTCCCCTCCCCACCACCAGCGTGGTGATCGTGTTCCACAACGAGGCCTGGTCCACCCTGCTGCGCACGGTCTACAGCGTCCTGCACTCGTCCCCGGCCCGCCTGCTCCGAGAGGTCATCCTGGTGGACGATGCCAGCACGGACGGTGCGTGGGGGACACGGGGACAGGGGGGTGCAGGGAGCAGTGGGGTGTGGGTCAGAGGAGTTCAGGGAGCAGTGGGATGTGGGTCAGAGGAGTTCAGGGAGCACGGTGGAATGTGGGGTCAGAGAGATGGAGGAGTTGTGATGAGATGTGGGTCAGAGGGCTGCAGGGAGCAGTGGGGTGTGGGTCAGAAGGATGCGGGGCCAGAAGGATGTGGGAGTTGTGGTGAGATGTGGGGTCAGGGGGATGCAGGGAGCACAGTGGGATGTGTGCAGGGGTTGCGGCGGGATGTGGGTCAGAGGAGCACAAGGACCATGGTGAGATGCGGGGCCAGAGGGGTGCAGGAGTTGTGATGGCATGTGGATGCCAGAAGGATGCAGGAGTTGTGGTGGGATGTGGGGTCAGAGAGATGTAGGAGTCGTGGTGGGATGTGGATCAGAGGGATGCAGGGAGCATGGTGAAATGTGGGGCCAGAGAGGTGCAGGAGCTGTGGTGTGATGTGGGTCAGAAAGATGCAGGAGCCAGAAGGGTGCAGGAATTGTGATGGGATGTGGGTCAGAGGGATGTGGGCTGGAGAGGGATGCAGGGAGCATGGTGGGATGTGGGCCGGAGAGGGATGCAGGGAGCATGGTGGGATGTGGGTCAAAGGGATGCAGGAGCCCTGGTGGAAAGCAGGAGCCAGAGAGATGCAGGAGCCATGTGGGATGTGGATGCCAGAGGGAGTTAGGACAAGCCGTGGTGGGATGGGGGAGTGACAGGGATGCAGGAGCCACAGGGAGCTGTGAGGGACCAGTGAGGAGATTCAGGGGCCAGAGGGAAGCAGGATGTGGGATCAGCAGGATGCAGGGGACACCAAGCCCCTCTCCAAGCCTGGGAGCAGCAGCTCTGAGCCACTCACACTCCCAATATCCCGGGATCTCCCAGCAGCCGCTCCCCATTTCACATCCACCCCTGGGATTTTCCCTTCCCCAGCACCGCTGTTATCCCTGCCCTGGGGACAAATCAGGTGCCCCACAAACCTCCACCCTCAGCCAGCTGTAATCCTCGTTAATTAGCACTCAGAGCTAATTAACGCGGGGTTCAGTGTCGGGGCACTGGGAGGAGCGGACTCTGCCCTTGTCCCAGATAAATTCTCCCTTTCCACCCACGGGCTCCCGAGGAGCAGGAACCTCGTGGTGCCCCAGAGCTCGACTCCCACTGGGGCTGGATGTGGGATGGACTCGTATCCCCCTCCCAGGCCGCTTTTCTTAGGGTCCCAGCTCCCACTTGGCCATTCCTAGCTCCTGGCTTGGCTGCATCTGCCCAGAAATCCCGGGTTCCTCTGGTGACCCCTTTCCTCAGGAACAGCTTGGTCCTGGTGACACTTCAAGCACAGGGATGTGACCTCCTCACCCACCCTGCCAACCCCCAGTCCCTCTCTAGAGAGGGATTAGACAGGAGGGGGTTAGACCCTTACAAAACTAATTTTCTTTAGCCAAAAATACACTTGGGTTTGGGGCAAAGGCTCAGGTGTCCCTGAACCCAAACCCAACTGCAGAGTCTGAGCAGCAGGGGATGGGGATGGGATGGGATTTATGGGATCAATGGGATTTATAGGATGGGATTTGGGAGATGGGATGGGATTGATGGTATTGATGAGAGAGATGGGATTTGGCATGGGATGGGAGAGATGCAATTTGGAATGGGATTTATGGGATGGGACAAGATGGGATCAATGGGATTGATGGGATGGGATTTATGGGATCGATTTATGGGATTTGGGAGATGGGATGGGATTGATGGTATTGATGGGAGAGATGGGATTTATGGGATGGGATAAGATGGGATCAATGGGATTGGTGGGATGGATTTTATGGGATCAATGGGATTTATAGGATGGGATCTGGGAGATGGGATGGGGTGGGATGGGTTTGATGGTATTGATGGGATTTGGAATGGGATTTATGGGATGGGATAAAATGGGATCGATTGGATGGGGTCAATGGGATTGATGGGGCAGCAGGATGGGCTGGTGGGATGCAGGGACTGATGGCTTCAGGTGGTTTTCCCACCTGCAGAGTACCTGAAGGAGGAGCTGGATCGCTACGTGGAGCAGCTGCAGATCGTGCGCGTGGTGCGGCAGCGGGAGCGCAAGGGGCTCATCACGGCACGGCTGCTGGGGGCCAGCGTGGCCAGCGGGGAGGTGCTGACCTTCCTGGATGCCCACTGTGAGTTACCCCCCCGCGACACCCTGTGACACCAGGAGTGTCCTCCCCGTGTCTCCCTGTGGCACTGGGAGTGTCCCCCCTGTGACACCCCATGACACTGTGAGTGTCCCCCCATGATACCCTGTGACATCCTGTGAGTGTCCCCCCCATGACACCCTGTGGAACTGTGAGTGTCCCCCCATGATGCCCTGTGACACCCTGTGTGTCCCCACATGACACCCTGTGACACCGTGAGTGTACCCTCATGACACCCTGTGAGTGTCCCCCCATGACCCCCCGTGATGCCCTGTGACACTGTGAGTGTCCCCCCATGACACCCTGTGACACTGTGAGTGTCCCCCCATGACACCCCGTAGCACCCTGTGAGTGTCCCTCCTGTGGCACCCCATGGCACCATGAGAGTCCCCCCGTGACACCCTGTGACCCCATGAGTGTCCCCTCATGACACCCTGTCAGTGTCCCCCCGTGACACTCTGTGACACCCTATAGCACCGTGAGTGTCCCCCCATGGCCCCCTGTGGCACCGTGAGTGTCCCCTCATGACACCCTCTGAGTGTCACCCTGTGACCCCGTGACTGTCCCCCATGATATCCTGCGGCACCATGTGTGTCCCCTCATGACACCCTGTGAGTGTCCCCCCGTGACACCATGTGAATGTCCCCCCGTGTCACCCGTGCGTGCCCCGGGCGCTGTGGGTTCCCCCAGCCCCGCTCAGCCCTGCCCGTGTCCCAGGCGAGTGTTTCCATGGCTGGCTGGAGCCGCTCCTGTCGCGCATCGCCGAGGAGCCCACGGCCGTGGTGAGCCCCGACATCGCCACCATCGACCTCAACACCTTCGAGTTCTCCAAGCCCGTGCAGAACGGGAAGCAGCACAGCCGGGGCAACTTCGACTGGAGCCTGACCTTCGGCTGGGAGGTGGTTCCAGCGCGGGAGAGGCAGCGCAGGAAGGATGAGACCTTCCCCATCAAGTAAGCCCAGCACAGGATGCTTTATCCAGCTGGGTTTTCTCTTTTTCCCAGCAAATTGGTGTTTGTGACAGGGGTCTCAGGTTGAGGGAAGAGACGAGGATCAGACTCCATGTTTCAGAAGGCTTGATTTATTATTTTATTATATATATTACATTAAAACTATACTAAAAGAATAGAAGCAAGGATTTCATCAGAAGGCTAGCTAAGGATAGAATAGGAAAGAATTATAACAAAGGCTTGTGGCTCAGACTCTCTGTCTGAGCCAGCTGGGCTGTGATTGGCCATTAATTAGAAACATCCAACATGGGCCAATCACAGATCCACCTGTTGCATTTCACAGCAGCAGATAATCATTGCTTACATTTTGTTCCTGAGGCTTCTCAGCTTCTCAGGAGGAAAAATCCTAACGAAGGGATTTTCCATAAAAGATGTCTGCGACAGGTGTCCTCCTTGGTTTTGGTGCCTCTGGGTGGGCAGTGCTGCCCTTTTCCAGCAGGGTTCTCCCTTGGGATTTTGGCATGGGAGATGTCGGGAGTTTGTGCCCAAGCACGGTCAGAGCTTGGGGGGGTGGTGGAGGGCAAACCTCCCTTGGCGCCAAAATGGACCTTAGAGTCTCCTCCAGCTGCCTCTCGCTCCGGCATTTAGGATTTCATTGCTCTCACTCCCATTAAGGATTTAATTGCTGTCTTTGCCTTCTCGCCCTCGGTGCCCGGGTGCCCCCGCGCAGAACAGGTCACCTGTGGATCAGGCTGTGCCAAAATCCCCTCTCTTATCCCTCTGTTTGACATGCAGACAGAGCCTGGGTGGTTTTCCCACCTCTCCCTGTGCCCCCACTGGGAGACACCGGACACCCGGCCCCACCCCGGCCGCGGGGCTGGCTTTGTGCTCGGGTCACCTGGGCGACGCTCCTGTCCCCATAAAGGCCCCTTTCACCTCCAGCCGGGCGCTTGGCTCCCGCCGCTGCCTCGTCTCCAGCAGCTCAGCGAGTCCTTGGCGTTTATTATTTTTCCTGAATAAAAGCGAGGTTCTGTTCCAGCCTCAGATGGAAAAGATTAGGGAAGCGGGAGGAGGGATTGGGGCACTGAGCTCTGACCTCCTCCTCTTTTTGGCGACAGGTTTTTGGTAACAATATCCTCTTTTCACTTTGAATCCAGCTGGCAGCGAGGCTCCTCCATGTCACGCTGTCACCTCTGTCCCCTCCCAGCAGTCCAGCCAAAGCCACCACAGCTGGATGGAGGGGGACTCTGATTTCCCAAAACTCAGATTTCTGCTCTTTGACTTGTGTTTTACCCCTTCTTTTCCCCCTGCAGGTCCCCGACCTTCGCAGGTGGCCTCTTTGCCATCTCCAGGTCCTACTTTGAGCACATCGGCTCCTACGACGACCAGATGGAGATTTGGGGGGGTGAGAACGTGGAAATGTCCTTCAGGGTAAGTATGGGGGTCCACCTTCTGAGGGCACCTCCAGGGAGCTCCCTGTTGGGGGGCCCGGGGGCCGGACCCCCCACCTCAGGTGTGGCTTCCCCGCAGGTGTGGCAGTGCGGGGGACAGGTGGAGATCATCCCCTGCTCCGTCGTGGGCCACGTGTTCCGCTCCAAGAGCCCCCACACCTTCCCCAAGGGCACCCAGGTGATCTCCCGGAACCAGGTGCGCCTGGCCGAGGTCTGGATGGACGACTACAAGGAGATCTTCTACCGCCGCAACCAGCAAGCCTCCCAGATGGCCAGAGAGGTATTGGGGGCTGCTGCTGCTTCTGCTGGGAGGGTGTCTCAGTTTGGAAAGACAGGTGCCTGCTAAGGAGGGCAGGAGCCTCCCCTGAAATGGAGAATGTAAACCCTCCCTACCCCTTTAAATTGCTATAAATTTTAAATTAAGAGCTCTCAGGCAACAAATATGGGAGCAGGAAATAACAGTTCTTTAATAGGGAAGAAAATTAAAGGATAAAATAAACAATGCATTACACTAGAACAACACTGACAGAGTCAGAACCCAACCTGACACCCTGTGGGTCAGGGTGTTGGCAGCAGTCCCATTGGAATTGTGGCTCAGCCCTCCTGCAGTGTCAGGGGTGGTTCTGTTGGAGCAAGGGGGTTCTGGAGAAGGGTGAAGTCTTCCTCTGAAGATCCAGTGGGAAGGAGAGGCACCTGCTGCTCCTCTGGGGAATCCAGTGGAGAAGCCGTGCTGGTGTTCCAGAATCTCCAGATTATATCTGGGTAGCAATGCTTGGCTCCTCCCTCTGGGTTCACATCTCCCAATGGGATGCTGTAGCTCTTATCAGCCATGCAGGGACATTCAATGGCTGTTATCAGCAGATATCCCCTCCCGAGGGAGGAGTGATTGTGGAAGAGATAAGGAAAAACTGCCCACTTGACAAAAGACAAGTGCCACCCAGATTATAATAGAATACATCTTGCCTTGCAATCTGGGACAGAGGGCTGGTCCTGCTGGGAGCTCCACCTGAGCAGCAGGAGCAGGTGGGAGATCAGGCAGGTGGACACAAATAACCAAAAGCTTTTTTTTTTTTCTTTCCCTCTCTAACCAGAATGTTTCCCAGTAGGAAAACATTGGAGTTTATCAATTGTTTCTTGTTTCCTAATGATTTTTTTTCAACACCAATATCATAAAGCAGGGCACCCCTGAGGTAGGGAGTAATTGGTACCTGACTCCATTGATTCAGAAGGCTGAACAATTGCTTTATTAAAACTCTATTTATTACATTATACTATACTATATTAAAGAGATAATGTACTATACAAAATATACATACTAAAGAAAGATTCGTGAATGACTGAGACAACCAGGACACAGCTTTGAGTGATTGCCTAAGGAATCAAAACAATCCTCAGTAGAATCCAACTGACAAATCACGTCAGGTAATCTTCCTAACACATTCCACAAGTGCAAAAAAACAGGAGCAGCAAGCTGAGATAAGAATTGTTTCCTCTTCTTTTCTCTGTGCTTCTCCAGGAAAAAAAACATGGGAGAGAGAATTGTCTCTCTCTGTTCAGAAAATGTGAATGCACCAAAACTTCTTATTTTCTTTTTTCAATACCAGAACTTCTTATTCTTCGCCAAAAGATCTCCAAGCTCTTGGTGGAGCCTGTGGGTACCTGCCAGATGTCCCCCCCACCTTGTCTGAGTGCTGGTCACACCTGGAGGGATGATGAAAAAGCTGGGGGTGACTCCAGCTCTGAGCCCCAACCTGGAAAGGGTTTTTTTGGCGATTTTCCCTATTGTTTTTGGAAGTGAATTTAATTTTCGCCCCGATTTCATTTTTTAGAAGACGTTTGGTGACATCACAGAGCGGCGCAGGCTGCGGGAGCGGCTGCACTGCAGGAATTTCACCTGGTACCTGCAGAACGTCTACCCCGAGATGTTCGTGCCCGACCTGACCCCGACGTTCTACGGAGCGGTGAGTGCCGGGAGCGGCCGGAGCTCCGCCCTGCGCCGGGAACGGCCAGGGGAGCACCCAGAGGGTGGGTTTGGGGGCTTTGAATTGAACTGGGGAGCTGGTGCTGCCATGTCTGTCGCCCTGTCTGTCTGTCACTGCTCACCGTGTCTGTCTGTCACCTCATCTGTCACCGGCTGGCGGGGCCGGTTTGGGCTCCGGCCGAGCTGGAATCCGGCAGAGCTGGTTTGGGGTGACTCCCGGGGTGGGGAATCCGTGGGGATGTGGACTTGGGTTAAATTCGGGGGAAGAGCTGAGAACTTCCTTGAGTCCCAAACACCGTCCTGGTACAGGGAGGGCTGGAAAAACTGAGCTGGGGATGGGGTGGGATGGGATGGGATGGGGAGCTCCATCTCCATCCCGAGGGAATCTAGGCACAGGTGGGAGGCAGGACCCCATCTCCAGCCCCCCATCCACAGGGAAATGGAGACAGGTGGGATGTGAAGGGCTGGCTCCGTCCCTGAGGGAGCTGGGGACAGCAGGGCACGGAGCTCTGGCTGCGTCCCCGAGGAACTGAGGGCAGGCAGAATGAGGGGCTGCAGCTTCATCCCTGAGGATGGGATTCCCCTCAGGCAGGAAAAGCCTTTTCCCTCAAGCTGGGTGCTGGATCCTGAGTCTACCCCTCCTCAGCCAGGGCGATGTGACAGCAGCTGGCATGGCCAGCACCCAGCCCAGCGACAGCCGGGTGACAGCCATGTGCTGGGTGGGTGCTGGCTCCCATCCAACTTTTAATTCACCTTCATTTCCTGAAACCTCCGCCCGGTGCCTTTCCCTTTGCTCCGCGTGCCGGAGGTGATGGCTCGGGCGTTCCTCATGTCCTGGAAAGGACACAGGACCCGGAGCCGGCTCTGGATGCCGGGATGGTGTGTGCACAGCGATAACCCAGAGCCCTGCACGGCCAAACCCGAGCCGGTCCCACCCTGGCTCCTCTGAGCCCTTCTTTCCTCCACTCTCCCAGACCTTTTCCTCATTCCTGCCCCTTTTTCCCCCTACCCTGTCTTTTTACCCGTCTTTCCTCCCTCTCCTCCCCTCCACACCCCCGTTCCCATCGCCTTTCCCTGCCCTCTTTCCCCCATCTCTTTCCCCCATCTCTTTCCCCTCTTTCCCCCCCCATCATCTCTTCCCCCCCCCATCATCTCTTTTTCCCCCCTATCATCTCTTTTTTCCCCCATCTCTTTCCCTCTCCTTTTGTTTTTCTCCCCTCTCCTTTTCCTACCACCATCTCTTTTCCCCCATCTCTTTTTCCTCCCCTTTCCCTCTCCTTTTTCTCCCTCCTTTTTCTCCCCTCTCCTTTTCCCCCCACCACCTCTTTTCCCCTCCCAACTCCTCTCTTCCCCTCACACAGATCAAAAACGAGGGCACCAAGAGCTGCCTGGACGTCGGGGAGAACAACCACGGCGGCAAACCTCTCATCATGTACCCCTGCCACGGGCTGGGGGGCAACCAGGTGCGCCCCCCGAACCACCCCCATCATTTCCCCTTCTCCCAGCCCCCGGTTTTCCCCCGGGGCGCGGCGGTGACGGCTCCGTTGTCTCTCCCCGCAGTACTTTGAGTACACGAGCCAGCGGGAGCTGCGCCACAACATCGGCAAGGAGCTGTGCCTGCGCGGGGCCGCGGGCACGGCCGAGCTGGGCGAGTGCCAGTTCCGAGGGAAGCCCGGCCGGGTGCCCGCCAGCGAGGAGTGGGACCTGGCGCAGGTGAGGAGCCCCCAGTTCACAGTGAGCTGCGAGCTCATGGATGTGCATCGATTATTAGCCTGTTGGTTAGGGCATATAGCTGTTAACTACAGTATCATGGGATCACAGCCCATCTGTCCAGTAAATTGGAAGGTCCTAGCTTAATTAAAGCATTTAGGGGATGCAGGGTAATGGCCCGCGGACTTTAGCAGAAACTAAGAGTGTTTAAGTCTTGTTTAAGGCTTTGAAGGCCTTCGGTTTAGGTAATCCTAAATTTCTTAGACAATGGTAAGGGGTCCTTCCCATTAGACAATGGTAAGAGGTCCCTACCATAGGCAATGGTAAGGGGTCCCTACCATTAGGCAATGGTAATCGCCCCAGGGCACGGAGCGGCCCCTCCGGTGCTGTTTCCCCTCGCTCACACCCCGCTCTCGCTCACGGTTTGCCTTGTTTCTCGGCAGAACCGGCTGATCAAGAACTTGGCCTCGGGGATGTGTCTGACGGCCCGGGGGAAGCACCCGGCGCTCGTTCCCTGCGACCTCACGGACCCGCATCAGCTCTGGTCCTTCACCTAAACGGGAGGGGAGCCCCCGGCCGCGCTCAGGAAACCAGGATCCAAAAAAACTCCCTTGTTCGCTTTAATTTAAGAAGTGAAAGCCTTAAATATGCTGCATTTCGTGGTTGCCTTGAACGGAATCCCGCGCCTTTGGGAGCCAGGTTCGGCCGGGGGCGCCCCAGGGACCCCGAAACGCAGCGGCGGTGGCAGGGATGCTCCTGCCGATGCTCCTCGGGAGCCGCTGCTCATCCTCCCCATCCCGGCTCCAGCCAGACCCTCTTCAGGCTTTAAAAACGTGGATGCGCCTCCCCGGATGGGGAATCTGGGCGGGAAAATCCGGCGAGGAGGAGGATGGTGACCGTAGGGTTGCTTCCGTCGAGGGCGAATCGGGGCTTGCGGTGGCCGCTGGCGGGCAATGGGAGAAGTTGGGATCTGTGCCTTAGGAATCATGTGGATTTGGAGGGGGGAGGAAGTTAGATTCTTGCTTTTACTATTGTTATTATTAAATGATGATGATTCCTGGGTGCGATTCTGCTTGTGCTGAGCAGGAGGAGTTTTCCCTGGATGGCACGAGAGAATCCTTCTGAACGGGATCCTGGGTGCCACATCTCCTCTCTTCCAGATTTTTTGTCTATCCCAACTTGTGTAGCTGTCACTTTTGTTGCCATATCATTTACAGTGGGGAAAAATCCTCCTGGACATGGCAGAAGTGGGGAGAACCTGTCCTAGACACTGAACCTCAAATAAAGAGATGATTTATTTTACACAAATCCTGTCTCTGGCCATTCTGAGCTCCCAACGCTCCTCACACATTGTATCCTTCACAATTCTCGTTCTAGGAACTCCCTATTTAGCCCAAAATGAGTGTACAGCCCTTTGTGCCACAGCTGGGGGATCAGCTTTGCCCTGGGGTGTCCCTGTGTGGGGCAGAGCCGTTGCCACTGTCCCTCGCCTTCTGCCCTTGGTGCTGATAGAACAAACATGGGATTATCTGGAGATGGTGTTCCTGTGAAATTTCGTGTTTTTCTTGGAGATAAGGGCAGAACTGCAGCAGGTGCTTTTGATTTCCATCACTTTTTTTGACCTGGTTGACCCCATGACCGCTGTGATCCCAAATCAAAGAGCCTGTGCCTTGAGGGCCAATGTTCCTCACCAAAACAATCTCCATTTGGAGTTCAAGGGAAAAAAAATGACAGCGTTTTGGCCAAAACTCGAGGGTTTCGTTCAGATTGTAGCTCTGCATCATTCTGTCCCAAACTCATGCCCCAAGGAGGCCGAGCCAGGCCCTGCTCCAGCGCTGGCTGTGCCAGGGGCTTGGGAAGAGGCAGACAGTCGTGCCCTGTTTGTGCCTCGATTTCCCCATCCCGGTGCCAAAGTGGCTCCATCCAGGTGTTGGATCAAGCCCCGGGAACCATCCCACGAACCCAAGGCCCCGCAGAGCTGCAGCCAAAGCCTGCTGGGGCTGAGAGCGGGACCCAGCGGTGACACGGCTCGGGGACACGGGGACAGCAGGTGCCAGCGCAGGGCAGCGTCTCCCTGGGCTGCAGCGGCCAGGGGGGCTCGGGGTGCCCCTGGGCTGCCCGGGGACCGAGTGTGCTTTGGCACAGGGGCCAAGGCCGCTCGGCGGGGCCGCGGCACCTGCTGCCCTTCCCGCGCCGCCTCCCGCCGCCCCGTTAAAGCGCCCGGGGCCCGGCGCTCGGTCCCACCGCGGACAGCGCTCCACCATGATGCTGCAGCTCGTGCTCCTCGCCGCGCTCGCCCTGTGCGGTGAGTCCCGCCCGGAGCCTTCGGCCTCGGCACCCCCGAAAGCCGCCTTGAGCCAGGCCCGCCGGGACTGACGCCGTCCCTCTGTCCGCAGGGCGCTGCTCCGAGCTGGATCTCGATGGCATGCAGCGGGTGGTCGGCGGCACCGAGGCGCGCTCGCACTCCTGGCCCTCCCAGGTGGGTCGTGCCGGCGCGCCACGGCCGGGCCCGGGGCTCTGCCCGCGCCGGGACCCCGCGCTCAGCCCCGCGCCGTGTCTCGCCCCCTCCCCAGATCTCCCTGCAGTATTACTCCGGGGGCGGCTGGCACCACACCTGCGGGGGCTCCCTCATCCACAGGAACTGGGTGATGACCGCTGCCCACTGCGTCAGCAAGTGAGCGCCCCGGGGACCCCTCCTTCCCCTCGCCAAACCTCCTTTCCCCCAAAAACCCTTCCCAGCAGAAATTGCGGCTGCCCCAAGCCTCAGAGCGGCCGCCCTTGGGGGGCTTTTGGGCTCCTCCTTTTTGGCCGGGCCCCCGCGGGGCTGCTCCGGGAGCGTCCTGGTCCCGCTCGGAGCCTCCCGGAGCCGCTCCCGCTCGGGCTGCCCGCAGCTCGGCGCTGACGGAGCGTTTGTGCGCCTTGCCGCCAGTAACATGCAGTACCGCGTGGTGGCCGGCGAGCACAACCTCTACAGCAACGACGGCACCGAGCAGGTCTTCAGCGTCAGCAGGATCATCGTCCACCCCTACTACAACACCAACAACGTGGCCGCAGGGTAATGCCCGCGGGACGGGGGCTTGGGGGTGCCCGGCCGGAGTTTGGGGGGCTCCTTGTAACATCCTCTCCCTCCCGCCGGCAGCTACGACATCGCCCTGTTCCGCCTGAGCAGCTCGGCCACCCTGAACAGCGCCGTGCAGCTGGCCGTGCTGCCCCAGGAGGGCACCATCCTGCCCAACAACTACCCCTGCTACATCACGGGCTGGGGCCTGACCCGCAGTGAGTGACGGGCTGCCCCCGACCCGAATTGCCCCGGCACGGCCAACGGCGGCAGCCGCGGCAGCGCCCGGAGCCCGGCACGGCCCCGGGAGGCTCCGCTCGGGGCTGCGCTCGGGGCTCGCAGGCGCTGAGAGCCGGCCGGGGCCTTGCCGAGCCTCGGGGGGACGGCCGGGGCCGGAGGGGCTCGGGGGGACGGACGGGGCCGAGGGGCTCGGGGGGACGGACGGGGCCGCAGGGGCTCGCAGGGAGCCGCGGGCTCTGCTTTGGCCGGGCCGTTCCGGCGGCTCCGGGCCGGCGCTGACCGGCGCCCGCTCCCCGCAGCCAACGGGCAGCTGTCCAGCGTCCTGCTCCAGGCCCCGCTGCCCGTCGTGAGTTACCAGATCTGCTCCAGCGCGTCCTACTGGGGCTCCACCGTCAAGAACACCATGGTGTGCGCCGGAGGCGACGGCGTGCGCTCCGGCTGCCAGGTGCGCCCGCGGCCCCCGCGCTGCCCCCGCCGCCCCCGGCGCTGCTGCCCCCGCAGCCCCGGCTCACGCCGCTCCTTGCTCCGCAGGGCGATTCCGGCGGTCCCCTGCACTGCGCCGTCAACGGGCAGTACCAGGTGCACGGCGTCACCAGCTTCGTCTCCAGCCAGGGCTGCAACGTCGCCCGCAAACCCACCGTCTTCACCCGCGTCTCCGCCTACATCTCCTGGATCAACAGCGTAAGGCGGCCGGGCCGGGCCCAGCCCCGGCGCTCTCGGGGCTCCGCTGCGCCCGCCCCGGCCCCGCGCGGCTCAGCCCGGCCCTTCCTCCCTTCCAGGTCATCGCCCAGAACTGAGCCCAGCGGGACAAGCGCTCGCTGCCCCGAGCCCATGGACATCCCCTCGCTGCCCCGCGCCGCGCTCCGGGCTCCTCGCCCCCGAGCCGGCCTCAATAAAATCTCTCCTCCCGAAAGTCTCGGAGCCTCCGCGCTGCCTTTCCTCGCGTCCGCCCAACCTTCCTCCCCTCGCCCGCCATCCTCCTCCTCCCCAGCTCCCGCACCGGCCCTTCCCCGCCTCCTCCTCTTCCTCACTCCCCAGGGAACAGCCCTGCGGACCAGGAGCTGCCTCCGAGCTCTGGGGCAGCCCCAACCTCCGTGGGATGCTGGAAAAGGGGCAAACGCTGCAAAGCCCCTTCCTGGGCTCCAAGGCAATCGCCCCTTGGCAATGCGGTGGCACACGGAGCGTTCGTAGCAATCCCATCGGGATCTCCCCTGGCACTTGCTGCATTTCTCTTCCCCAAATTCCCTCCTTGCCAATGAGAGGTGTTGGATTCGGGGACTGCCACCCAGCTGCCTCAGCTGCGTCCTGGGGCTGTGCCACAACCCCCCAGCCTGGGGACACAACACCAGCACCAACGTGCCCCAAACACCCGGTTTGCACCCAAACAGACACTGCTGGGTGGATCTAGTGGCCGCTGGGAGTTCCCCTCAGCCCTGGGTCGTGTCCTGCTGAACAAAACACCCACGAGTGACAAGAGACCCTCCCAAAAACACCCTGGACACATCTGTGTGAGGTGGTGCCCACTTGAACACCTGATTTTGCGGGTCCCCTCTGTGGAGACGTGGGTTTTGGGGTGAAGGAGCCCATTCAGAACCTGGATCTGTAGGGGGTTGAGCTTGGGGGGGGTCTCACAAAGACAGAGATGGGGGCTGAGGACTCCCTGATCCAGGAACATTTGAGGGGCAGGAAGTGTCTGTCTGAGCCCCCAGATTTTGGGGATCCCCTCCATGGGGAGGTGGGGTTGGAGGAGAAGAAGCCCATTCGTGGATTTGGGGGTCTGAGCTTGGATGGACCCTCAGGGATGGAAATGGGGGTTCAGGCTCCCCAGCAGAAAAATCTGGGGAGGGCACAAACCCCCAAGTCCCTCGGGCCTGACGTCATCCTCAGACACAGGGGGACCCCCAAAGGGCAGGGTCCCCCACATTTCCTCCATCAGCCCTCATGAGGCCCCAGAACCACTCCCAACGGTTCAGCACCCCCAGCCTGGGGGGGCCGCGGGAGCAGTGGCTGTGCCTGGCACTGCTGAAGCCCCCAGGGCTGGGTCCAGTTCTGCCCCTCCCAGCAAGAAAAACACCCAGGGGCTGCAGAGTGTCCAGAGAAGGGAACAGAGATGGGGAAGGGGCTGGGGCAGCTGAGGGAGCTGGGAAAGGGGCTCAGCCTGGAGCAAAGGAGGCTCAGGGGGGGCCTTGTGGCTCTGCACAGCCACTGTCTCAACCTGACAAGAGGGGACAGCCGAGGGGTCGGGTTGTGCTCCAGGGA